AAGGTCTACATTTATTTTTTCCCAGTCAATCCTCTTATTGTTGAAATTGAATTGATTGAATATTCCTTCTCGCTTGTTTGGTCTCTTAGACCTACTACCGTTATTTATGCTAGTTCGCACTTCAATGAGCTTATGGTCTGAGTATGAAGTATCTGAGATTGTGATGTCTTTGATTAGTTCATCATTGTTTGTGAATAACAAGTCTAGTGTGTTTTCGTTCCTAGTTGGTTCTGTAATCTGTTGATTGAGCGAGAATTTGTCACAGAATCTCAAAAGTTCTCTGACCTGTGGTTGGTTATTTCCCGGGTCATTCCCTGCTATGATATTTGTGTTTGCCGTTCTCCATCTTAGACTCGGTAAATTGAAATCTCCAAGGAAGATAATATCTGGAGCTGGGTTTGCTAGGTTGTCAAGTATGTTCTCTATTTTGTGCATCTGCTCTGTGAATTCCTCAATCGTTGTATCTGGCGGTTTATATATTAGAATAATAATTAAGTTTAGTTTCTCTACCTTCATTCCAAGTACCTCTACCACCTCATTAGTTGAATTTAGTAGTTCTGTGCATACCAGGTCTTCTTTAATATACAGACCTACTCCTCCATTTGACCTAGTTTTTCTATCACATCTATATAGATTATAATTTGGAATCCAGATTTCACCATCCATGTAATCTTTTGTATGAGTTTCCGTGAATGCCCCAAATATTGAGTTTGACTCTAATAGAAGGCCATTTATGAACTTAACTTTATTTCTTGACTTTGGCTTTAAACCTTGAACACGGGTGAGAGTAGACAACATAGAGGACACGGATGAGAGTAGACAACATAGAGGACACGGGAGAGAGTAGACAACATAGAGGACACGGGTGAGAGTAGACAACATAGAGGACACGGATGAGAGTAGACAACATAGTGGACACGGGTGAGAGTAGACAACATAGAGGACACGGGTGAGAGTAGACAACATAGAGGACACGGATGAGAGTAGACAACATAGTGGACACGGGTGAGAGTAGACAACATAGTGGACACGGGTGAGAGTAGACAACATAGAGGACACGGGTGAGAGTAGACAACATAGAGGACACGGGTGAGAGTAGACAACATAGTGGACACGGGTGAGAGTAGACAACATAGTGGACACGGGAGAGAGTAGACAACATAGAGGACACGGGAGAGAGTAGACAACATAGAGGACACGGGTGAGAGTAGACAACATAGAGGACACGGATGAGAGTAGACAACATAGAGGACACGGGAGAGAGTAGACAACATAGAGGACACGGGTGAGAGTAGACAACATAGTGGACACGGGTGAGAGTAGACAACATAGAGGACACGGGTGAGAGTAGACAACATAGTGGACACGGGTGAGAGTAGACAACATAGAGGACACGGGTGAGAGTAGACAACATAGAGGACACGGGTGAGAGTAGACAACATAGAGGACACGGGTGAGAGTAGACAACATAGTGGACACGGATGAGAGTAGACAACATAGTGGACACGGGTGAGAGTAGACAACATAGTGGACACAGATGAGAGTAGACAACATAGAGGACACGGGTGAGAGTAGACAACATAGTGGACACAGATGAGAGTAGACAACATAGTGGACACGGGTGAGAGTAGACAACATAGTGGACACGGGTGAGAGTAGACAACATAGTGGACACAGATGAGAGTAGACAACATAGTGGACACGGGTGAGAGTAGACAACATAGTGGACACAGATGAGAGTAGACAACATAGTGGACACGGGTGAGAGTAGACAACATAGTGGACACAGATGAGAGTAGACAACATAGTGGACACGGGTGAGAGTAGACAACATAGAGGACACGGGTGAGAGTAGACAACATAGTGGACACAGATGAGAGTAGACAACATAGTGGACACGGGTGAGAGTAGACAACATAGAGGACACGGGTGAGAGTAGATAACATAGTGGACACGGGTGAGAGTAGACAACATAGAGGACACGGACGAGAGTAGACAACATAGGACACGGGTGAGAGTAGACAACATAGTGGACACGGGTGAGAGTAGACAACATAGTGGACACGGGTGAGAGTAGACAACATAGAGGACACGGCAAACTTCCAATCTGATGTAAATCAGGTCTTTCATGGGGCCACAGAAAATTATACGATGCCTGGGCCAGGCTTGACTTGAGATAACTTGGTCCACCAGGCTGTTGCTGGGAGCGGCCCGCAGGCCCACATACCCACCACGGCCTGGTTGGTCCGGCACTCTTTGCATTATTTAATGCAGGAACCTATTTAATGACTAATTAGCCAGTGCTAATTACTCATGAAACGTGAGAAAAGCTGCGGTAATTAGAGCAACGTGATTGCATCACAACTAGGGTGGATTAAGGGTCATGACTCACCTCAAGACACTATAGGAGTTGAAGGTGAGTAACAGAGTCTGTGTACGCGTTGAGTCAGCACTCAGAATACTCCCTACCTTCTCAAGTCACCTTTCAGAATACCAGCAGAGGGCGAGCTCGTCAAGAGGGACACCTTACATCGTCAGCTCCTAACTTGTCCTCGCAATTCTTAGAAAACGCTCAAGACTTAAGAATACCGCGTCACTGCTATGAATATGTGCCCCCCTCCCCCCCCCCCCCCCCCCGCCGGGGAGAGGCGTCTGAGTGGCTAACAACGTTGAGGTGGTCGTTAATGATCTGCTTCTGTCCTCCGTTGGTGGGTTTTAGGGCTCATTCTCTTCTTATCAAATTGTTTATCCTTATTATTCAAGACGTCATCTAGGCATGAACTAATTACACCAGGCTAACGAGCCCAAGTTGGTAATTACACATCTGCTCCAGTGGAAAAGTTTTGTCAGGGATGATTGGTGTTCTGAGGGGCTGGTGCGCTGAGTGTGGTGTTCTGAGGGGCTGGTGCGCTGATTGTGGTGTTCTGAGGGGCGGGTGCGCTGAGTATGGTGTTCTGAGGGGCTGGTGCGCTGATTGTGGTGTTCTGAGGGGCGGGTGCGCTGAGTATGGTGTTCTGAGGGGCTGGTGCGCTGAGTGTGGTGTTCTGAGGGGCTGGTGCGCTGAGTGTGGTGTTCTGAGGGGCTGGTGCGCTGAGTGTGGTGTTCTGAGGGGCTGGTGCGCTGAGTATGGTGTTCTGAGGGGCTGGTGCGCTGAGTGTGGTGTTCTGAGGGGCTGGTGCGCTGATTGTGGTGTTCTGAGGGGCGGGTGCGCTGAGTATGGTGTTCTGAGGGGCTGGTGCGCTGAGTGTGGTGTTCTGAGGGGCTGGTGCGCTGATTGTGGTGTTCTGAGGGGCGGGTGCACTGATTGTGGTGTTCTGAGGGGCTGGTGCGCTGAGTGTGGTGTTCTGAGGGGCTGGTGCGCTGAGTGTGGTGTTCTGAGGGGCTGGTGCACTGAGTGTGGTGTTCTGAGGGGCTGGTGCGCTGAGTGTGGTGTTCTGAGGGGCGGGTGCGCTGAGTGTGGTGTTCTGAGGGGCTGGTGCGCTGAGTATGGTGTTCTGAGGGGCTGGTGCGCTGAGTATGGTGTTCTGAGGGGCTGGTGCGCTGAGTGAGGTGTTCTGAGGGGCTGGTGCGCTGAGTATGGTGTTCTGAGGGGCTGGTGCGCTGAGTATGGTGTTCTGAGGGGCTGGTGCGCTGAGTATGGTGTTCTGAGGGGCTGGTGCGCTGAGTATGGTGTTCTGAGGGGCTGGTGCGCTGAGTGTGGTGTTCTGAGGGGCTGGTGCGCTGAGTATGGGTCCTGCTTCCTAGTTAGCGGGTCCTGCTTCCTAGTTAGCGGGTCCTGCTTCCTAGTTAGCGGGTCCTGCTTCCTAGTTAGCGGGTTCTGCTTCCTAGTTAGCGGGTCCTGCTTCCTAGTTAGCGGGTTCTGCTTCCTAGTTAGCGGGTCCTGCTTCCTAGTTAGCGGGTCCTGCTTCCTAGTTAGCGGGTTCTGCTTCCTAGTTAGCGGGTCCTGCTTCCTAGTTAGCGGGTTCTGCTTCCTAGTTAGCGGGTCCTGCTTCCTAGTTAGCGGGTTCTGCTTCCTAGTTAGCGGGTCCTGCTTCCTAGTTAGCGGGTTCTGCTTCCTAGTTAGCGGAAAACTACCCAAAATTGCGGTAAAATGTGAGTTTGTCAACTATGATAATAAAAATATATTTACTCTAACTTTTCAATATCTCAAACTAGACCACTTAGTTCAAGTGATTAACCCTGACAGTGAGCGGCCCTGTCGGTACGGTGAGGCTGGGTCAGAGGTCAGAGGTCAGAGGTCAGAGGTCACAGTTTATCAAGATTCATGCTCCTATTTATATCCACCTATTTATATATATGCTTGTCTAACCTTCGCTTGAAACAACTCAACAAGACTCGTCTATAATACCTTGTTACCCGGAAATTGGCTACACAAATCAACAACATTGTTGTAAACCCGTATTTACCCAGGTCTTTTCTGAATCTCAACTCATCCAATGTGTATTCCTCGTTTCCTGTTTTATTTCCTTTGATATACTTAATGTCATATTAATTAATATTCCCTTCATATACCCGTTCACCCTCTGCTCGTTCACCCCTCCCCTGCTCGTTCACCCCTCCCCTGCTCGTTCACCCCCCCCTGCTCGTTCACCCCCCCTGCTCGTTCACCCCCTGCTCGTTCACCCCCCCTGCTCGTTCACCCCCCCTGCTCGTTCACCCCCCCTGCTCGTTCACCCCCCCCCTGCTCGTTCACCCCCCCTGCTCGTTCACCCGCCCCTGCTCGTTCACCCCCCCCCTGCTCGTTCACCCGCCCCTGCTCGTTCACCCCCCCCTGCTCGTTCACCCCCCCTGCTCGTTCACCCCCCCCCTGCTCGTTCACCCCCCCCCTGCTCGTTCACCCCCCCCCTGTTCGTTTACCCCCCCCACATTCTCGTCCACCCCACTTGCTCGTTCACCCCCCCCCCCCCCGCTGCTCGTTCTATCTCTACAGAGAATGTAACTTTGTGTTTCTATGTAATTAACGATTATAATACTTGGGATTATCTTTGTCAAACTTCTCTCTATGTGTTGAGTAGTATGGTGACTATAGCTGAACTGTTGAGTAGTATGGTGACTATAGCTGAACTGTTGTGAAGTATGGTGACTATAGCTGAACTGTTGTGTAGTATGGTGACTATAGCTGAACTGTTGAGTAGTATGGTGACTATAGCTGAACTGTTGTGTAGTATGGTGACTATAGCTGAACTGTTGTGTAGTATGGTGACTATAGCTGAACTGTTGTGTAGTATGGTGACTATAGCTGAACTGTTGTGTAGTATGGTGACTATAGCTGAACTGTTGTGTAGTATGGTGACTATAGCTGAACTGTTGTGAAGTATGGTGACTATAGCTGAACTGTTGTGTAGTATGGTGACTATAGCTGAACTGTTGTGAAGTATGGTGACTATAGCTGAACTGTTGTGTAGTATGGTGACTATAGCTGAACTGTTGTGTAGTATGGTGACTATAGCTGAACTGTTGTGTAGTATGGTGACTATAGCTGAACTGTTGTGTAGTATAGTGACTATAGCTGAACTGTTGTGTAGTATGGTGACTATAGCTGAACTGTTGTGTAGTATGGTGACTATAGCTGAACTGTTGTGTAGTATGGTGACTATAGCTGAACTGTTGTGTAGTATGGTGACTATAGCTGAACTGTTGTGAAGTATGGTGACTATAGCTGAACTGTTGTGAAGTATGGTGACTATAGCTGAACTGTTGTGTAGTATGGTGACTATAGCTGAACTGTTGTGAAGTATGGTGACTATAGCTGAACTGTTGTGTAGTATGGTGACTATAGCTGAACTGTTGTGAAGTATGGTGACTATAGCTGAACTGTTGTGTAGTATGGTGACTATAGCTGAACTGTTGTGTAGTATGGTGACTATAGCTGAACTGTTGTGTAGTATGGTGACTATAGCTGAACTGTTGTGTAGTATAGTGACTATAGCTGAACTGTTGTGTAGTATGGTGACTATAGCTGAACTGTTGTGTAGTATGGTGACTATAGCTGAACTGTTGTGTAGTATAGTGACTATAGCTGAACTGTTGTGTAGTATGGTGACTATAGCTGAACTGTTGTGTAGTATGGTGACTATAGCTGAACTGTTGTGTAGTATAGTGACTATAGCTGAACTGTTGTGTAGTATGGTGACTATAGCTGAACTGTTGTGAAGTATAGTGACTATAGCTGAACTGTTGTGAAGTATGGTGACTATAGCTGAACTGTTGTGAAGTATGGTGGGCGGTTACCTTGCGATGATTTCGAGAAACAAATGGGCAGAGTTTCTTTCACTCTGATTGCCCTGTTCACCTAGCAGTAAATAGGTACCTGGGACAGCTGCTCCGAGCTGCTTTCTAGTGATGTACTCACCTAGTTGTGTTTGCGGGGGTTGAGCTTTGCTCTTTCGGTCCGCCTCTCAACTGTCAATCAACTGTTTACTACTTTTTTTCACACCACACACACACACCCCAGGAAGCAGCCCGCGACAGCTGTCTAACTCCCAGGTACCTATTTACTGCTAGGTAACAAGGGCATTCAGGGTGAAAGAAACTTGGCCCATTTGTTTCTGCCTGGTGCGGGAATCGAACCCGGGCCACAGAATTACGAGTCCTGCGCGCTATCCACCAGGCTACCAGGCCCCGTGTGTGTGTGTGTGTGTGTGTGTGTGTGTGTGTGTGTGTGTGTGTGTGTGTGTGTGTGTGTGTGTGTGTGTGTGTGTGTGTGTGTGTGTGTGCGTGCGTGCGCGCGCGTGTGTTAAGTGATAAATGTATGTAGCAGACACAATAGAGGAAAAATAGCAAGGTTAAGAAGGTGGGGTCCAGGAGCTGGAGCGTGCAGACACACACACAAGGCTGATGCCCGTATAATGAGGTCCCAAGACACCGTCTACATCATTTATATTCAGTCTTTACGACTCTCAGGGGCGCCTCACTCCACCTTCATAATTTGAATTAAGTCTTTGGGTGGGTTTGCACCCGTGCATCTCCCGGTACCCCGGTACTCCTGTGACCCTGTACCCCGGTGTCCCGGTACTCCTGTGACCCTGTACCCCGGTGTCCCTGTACCCCTGTGTCTCTGTACCCCGGTGTACCTGTACCCCTGTGTCCCTGTACCCTCGTGTCCCTGTACCCCTGTGTCCCGGTATCCCCGTGTCCCGGTACCCCGGTGTCCCGGTACCCCCCGTGTCCGGGTACCCCTGTGTCCCGGTACCCCGGTGTCCCAGTACCCCCGTGTCCCGGTACCCCCGTGTCCCGGTACCCCCGTGTCCCGGTACCCCCGTGTCCCGGTACCCAGGTACCCCCGTGTCCCAGTGTCCCGGTACCCCCGTGTCCCAGTACCCCCATGTCCCGGTGTCCAGGTACCCCCGTGTCCCGGTACCCCCATGTCCCGGTACCCCCATGTCCCGGTACCCCCGTGTCCGGTGTCCCAGTACCCCCGTGTCCGGTGTCCAGGTACCCCCGTGTTCCGGTACCCCCGTGTCCCGGTACTCCCATGTCCCGGTACCCCCGTGTCCGGTGTCCAGGTACCCCCGTGTCCCAGTACCCCCGTGTTCCGGTACCCCCGTGTCCCGGTACTCCCATGTCCCGGTACCCTCGTGTCCGGTGTCCCGGTACTCCCGTGTCCGGTGTCCAGGTACCCCGTGTCCGGTGTCCCGGTACCCCCGTGTCCCTGTGTCCCGGTACCCCCGTGTAACGGTACCCCCGTCTCCCGGTACCCCCGTGTCCCTGTGTCCCGGTACCCCCGTGTAACGGTACCCCCGTGTCCAGTGTCTAGGTACCCCCGTGTCCCGGTGTCCAGGTACCCCCGTGTCCCAGTACCCCCGTATCCCGGTACCCCCGTGTCCGGTGTCCCGGTACCCCCGTGTCCGGTGTCCCGGTACCCCCGTGTCCGGTGTCCCGGTAACCCCGTGTCCGGTGTCCCGGTACCCCCGTGTCCGGTGTCCTGGTACCCCCGTGTCCGGTGTCCCGGTACTCCCGTGTCCGGTGTCCAGGTACCCCGTGTCCGGTGTCCCGGTACCCCCGTGTCCCTGTATCCCGGTACCCCCGTGTAACGGTACCCCCGTCTCCCGGTACCCCCGTGTCCCAGTGTCCCGGTACCCCATGTCCCAGTGTCCCGGTACCCCATGTCCCAGTACCCCCGTGTCCCGGTACCCCCGTGCCCCGGTACCCCGTGTCCCAGTACCCCCGTTTCCAAGTGTCCCGGTACCCCCATGTCCCGGTACCCCGGTGTGCCGGTACCCTGGTGTCCCGGTTCCCTAAGTGTCCCGGTACCCAAGTGTCCCAGTACTCCCGATCGAGTCCCGGTACCCCCGTGTCCCAGTGTCCTGGTACCCTCGTGTCCCAGTGTCCCGGTGTCCCAGTACCCCCGTGTCCCAGTACCCCCGTATCCCAGTACCCCCGTGTCCCAGTACCCCCGTGTCCCAGTACCCCCGTATCCCAGTACCCCCGTGTCCCAGTACCCCCGTGTCCCAGTACCCCCGTTTCCCAGTACCCCCGTTTCCCAGTACCCCCGTGTCCCAGTTCCCCCGTATCCCAGTACCCCCGTGTCCCAGTACCCCCGTGTCCCAGTACCCCCGTGTCCCAGTACCCCCGTATCCCAGTACCCCCGTATCCCAGTACCCCCGTGTCCCAGTACCCCCGTGTCCCAGTACCCCCGTGTCCCAGTACCCCCGTGTCCCAGTACCCCCGTGTCCCAGTACCCCCGTGTCCCAGTACCCCCGTGTCCCAGTACCCCCGTGTCCCAGTACCCCCGTGTCCCAGTACCCCCGTATCCCAGTACCCCCGTATCCCAGTACCCCCGTGTCCCAGTACCCCCCCCAGTACCCCGTTTCCCAGTACCCCCGTGTCCCAGTACCCCCGTATCCCAGTACCCCCGTGTCCCAGTACCCCCGTTTCCCAGTACCCCCCCGTGTCCCAGTACCCCCGTGTCCCAGTACCCCCGTGTCCCAGTACCCCCGTGTCCCAGTACCCCCGTGTCCCAGTACCCCCGTATCCCAGTACCCCCGTATCCCAGTACCCCCGTGTCCCAGTACCCCCGTGTCCCAGTACCCCCGTGTCCCAGTACCCCCGTGTCCCAGTACCCACGAGTTCACTGAAACCAGGAGTAAAAGACATTGTACGTATTTTTGTAATTCTGGGAGGGTAGTAGTGCAGAGAGCAAGCCACAACAGCCCGGGTGAACGTTACCTACGGCGCCCCCACCAGGGCCTCGTCGGGGAAGAGTAAAGCTTTCCTTACTAGCAAGTAAAGACCTTTGTTAAGGTTCATTAAGCTGCTATAAGAGCCACTTTTATGGAGGTAATATAATTGTGTTCTAAAGACTTTTCAAATAAAGTTTAAATAAACCAATATATGAATTGTCTCACTACGGGTACCTTGTTAAGCCTGGAGTATACCTGGAGTATACCTGGGGTATACCTGGAGCTTACCTGGAGTATACCTGGAGTATACCTGGAGTATACCTGGAGGGTTCTGGGAGTCCTTCTACTCCCTGAACCCGGCCTGAGGCGGCTCCACCTATAGCCTCTCATACGAAAAAATAACTAACAAAAAAAAACATATTTTTTAACCCCCCCCTCCCCTCACTTCCCCCCCTCCTCTTCCCCTTGTCCCCTCCCCTTCCCCAGCCCCCCCCCCCACTCTTATCTCCTCCTCTACAACTAGGTGAGCACAATTAGGTAAGTACACACAGACACACACACACACACACACACGAAACTCGTACATAGCCATCCATATAAGAAGGAAAATGAAGGACAGTGAATGACCAAGTGACCAGGTTACGAAAAAGGTGGAGGCCAGTATACAGAAAATGATAAAGATATATGTGAGGAGCTCAGTGCCAGCTTCCATGTAGTGTTCACTACTGAACCTGAACAGCTCCCAGAGCTAGATGAGGAAGCAGCACCAGATGAGTAACTACTAAATATTGATGTAACAACAGTGGCAGTAAGAATACAGCTAGCATCACTGGATGTAACTAAAGCTACTGGGCCAGATAGAGTATCACCATGGATGGTAAAAGAGGCAGCACAGACCCTCAGCATACTTCTTTGCTAATCTATAATGAGTCACTTACACAGGGTATATTGCCCAGCTGCTGGAAGAAGGCAAATGTGGTGAAGCAAACTTCAAGAAAGGAGATAAATAAAGAGGCACTTAACTAGAGACCAGCGTCGCGCACAAGCATCCCTTGCATAGTACTTGAGAGAATTATAAGGCTAAGACTAGTCGTATACCTAGAAAGAATTGGATTTGTAATTACACAACAATATGGCTTTATAGCTGGGAAATCCTGCCTGACGAACATCCTTGAGAAAAATGATAAGGTAACGAAAATAAGGCAAGACAGAGAAGGATGGGCAGATTGCATATTTCTGGACTGCCAAAAAGCCTTTGATACAGTACCACACAGAAGGTTACTATACAAACTTGAGAGTCAGGCGGGAGTAGACGACAACGCATTAACATGGGTAAGGAATTACCTGACAGACAGATGTCAGAGAGAGACAGTGAGGGGCGAGGAGTGGGACTGACGTAGAGCAACAAGCGGGGTGCCTCAAGGATCACTCCTGGGTCCCAGACTACTCCTTATTTATGTAAATGACTTAACTGAAAGAGTTGAGGCTTATATGTCAATGTTTGCAGGTGATGCACAACTAATGAGGAGGGTTGAGACAGATACCTGGTTGATACCTGGTTGATGGGGTTCTGGGAGTTCTTCTACTCCCCAAGCCCGTCCCGAGGCCAGGCTCGAGTTGTGAGAGTGTGGTCCACCAGGCTGTTGCTTGGAGCGGCCCACAGGCCCACATACCCACCACAGCCCGGCTGATCCGGAACTTCTCTTAAAAAACAGGCCAGTTTTCTCTTGAAGATGTCCACGGTTGTTCCGCAAATATTTCTTATAGTCGCTGGGAGGACGTTGAACAACCGCGGACCTCTGATGTTTATACAGTGTTCTCTGATTGTGCCTATGGCACCTCTGCTCTTCACTGGTTCAATCTTGCATTTTCTTCCATATCGTTCACTCCAGTACGTTGTTATTTTACTGTGTAGATTTGGGAACTGGCCCTCCAGTATTTTCCATGTGTATATTATTTGGTATCTCTCTCGTCTCCTTTCCAGAGAGTATATTTGGAGAGCTTTGAGACGATCCCAATAAT